TTTTTTTGAGACAGAGCTCCTTGCTCTGTCGGGCCCAGGCTGGAGTGCAGTTTGGCTCGATCTTGGTCACATGCCAAGCTCCGGCCCTCCTGGGTTCACGCCATTCTCCTGCCTCAGCGCTTCCCAAGTAGCCGGGACTCAGCGCCGCCACCTCGCGCCCGAGGCTAATTATTTTGCTATTTTTAGTAAGAGACCGGGGCTTTCACTGTATTGGCCAGGGATGGTCTCGGATCTCCTGACCTCCGTGATCCGGGCCTGCCCGGCCTCCCAAATGCCGCTGGGATTACAGGCGTGGAGCCACCGCCGCCCCGGCTAGATGATATGAACTTTCTTTTTTTTTTGTTTTTTTTTGGAGAGGATCTCGGCTCTGTCGGCCCAGGCTGGAGTGGCAGGTGGCTGGCATCTCAGGCTCACTGCAAGCTCCGGCCCCTCCCGGGTTCACGCCATCTCCTGCCTCAGCCTCCAGTAGTAGACTGGCGTACTACAGGCGCCCGCCACCTCGCCTCGGCTAGTTTTTGTATTTTTAGTAGAGACGGGGTTTTCATCCGGGTGTAAGCCAGGATGGTCTCGATCTCCTGACCTTGTGATCCGCCCGTCTCGGCCTCCCAAAGTGCTGGGATTACAGGCTTGAGCCACCGCGCCCGGCGATATTGAACTTTCTTACATGATTACTTAATATTTTTGTGTAGAACCTCAACAATGTGCAGAATCACCAGTGTGACTCACACGACAAAGCAGACACACAGAGCGAAAATAAGGTCTTTAGTTTGTCCATTGCTGATCTGGTCTTTTTCCAGATCACTACTTGCTGCAGGAAATTTCATCAAACGTCCAATGAGTCTAAACTGAGTTTGATCTCGTCATCTGAACTGGCCATTTAGGAAATGTACTCTCAGTCTGTTATTTAGGGAGAAGTGTTCAGTCTTCCCTGGACCCTCCCTTCTTCCTGCCTCTCCCACTAGGTGGCGCTGGGAGAGGATGCCTTGTGGTCCCTGACGGTCCTTCCGTTGTGTGGGCTGGTGTCCTGGGTGGCTGTTCACCTTGCTGAAGTTTATGTCTGTGGAGGATGAGGGAGATGAACCTTTCTGTCCTTTTCACTTGGCCAGTGGATGCCCTGACGAGGCCTCCCCAGCTACTGAGGGCAGCAGACTGCTGCACCTGCCACATCCCCCTCCAGCTACAGGCACAAGGTCCATCTGTAGCTTGGATCCAGAGAGACCTCTGGCTCTTCTTATCTCTACATCAGCACCAACGTGGACCTGAGGGAAGCTGGGAAAACCAAATCTCAGCACCTATCTCCCCATGCTGAGATAATTTCCTGTGGTTACACTCCAGTGGAGTGGGGGCAATGGCCCCTTCTTTGCCCTCCGTGCCACCCTTACTCATGAATCACTTCTCCATCCTTCATGCGCCAGGCCTTATCCTTCAGCCCCCAGCCTAGGCCCAGAGCTCACATCGAACAGAGGACACACTTCTGACCATGCCTTTCTCTTTCTCTCCTCCCACTTCCCACTCTCTCCAGGGAAGAAAAACTACATGTTTTTTTGTTTGTTTGTTTGTTTGTTTTTAATGGAGTCTCGCTGTTGCCCAGACTGGAGTGCAGTGGTACAGTCTTGGCTCACTGCAGCCTCTGCCTCCCAGGTTCCAGCAATTCTCCTGCCTCAGCCTCCTGAGTAGCTAGGATTACAGGTGTGCACTGCCACACGTGGCTAAATTTTGGATTTTTAGTAGAGACAGGGTTTCACCATGTTGGCCAGGCTGGTCTCCAACTCCTGACCTCAGGTGATCTGCCTGCCTTGACCTCCCAAAGTGCTGGGATTACAGGCGTGAGCCACCGCGCCCGGCCAAAACTACATATTTCTTGTGCACTTTCTTGGTGTCACAGCTTAGCCCTCTCCAGTGGGGATGGCGTCCCTTCCATCTTCAGGAGCATGCTGTGACCTTAGTCCTCCAGGATGCCGATGGCTTAAACAGAACTCATCAGCATCTGAAAAATGTTTCCTTGTAGGTAAAGAAACATTTTATTTTTATAGAAATAGAATAAAATTTTGTCTTGACACAGGGTCAAAGTTGAATATTTTATTTAATTTTGACATAGCCAGGTTGCCCAGGCTGGAGTGCAGTGCAGGATCGCAACTCACTGCAGCCTCTTCGAACTCCTGCGCTCAAGGGATCCTCCCACCTCAGCCTCTGCCGAAGCTGGGACTATAGGCACACGCCACTACATCCAGCTAATATTTAAACTGTTTTTATAGAGGCCGGAGCTCGCGTTGTTGCCCAGACTGGTCTTGAACTTCTGGGCTCTAGCGATCCTCCTGCTTTGGCCTCCCAGAGGGCTAGGATTACAGGTGTGAGCCACCGTGCCTGGCCGGAGTATTTTCTTGACCTTTCCTTCAAACAGTTGCCAAGAACAGACCAGGAAAAGGAGTTTTTGTGCCTGGTGAAGCAGGAGAGAAAATAAATGAAAATACATTAATCATTAAAGCCAATTTCGAGTTTGCCAGGATTTAGAAAGATCATTGTATCTAAACAGAGAAGCAATCATGTAGAATCAAATGGCAAATAAGTGACCCTTTTATTACCAAGAGGCCAGGCAAAGATAGCATGCCCTCCACCGGAAGGGAACATGGGGCTGGGACGGAGGCAGGGATGGAGCCCCCACCTACAGAGACCCTGTCGCGCTTGGAGGCTTCATGCACGCTGCCTCGCTTAGTTGTACTAATAATCTTGGGAGATAGGTCTTAGAGCCGCCCTTTTACAATGGAGGAAGACAAAGCTCAGAGCGCCAACAGCTGGCCCGTGACCACCCAGCTGGTAATGGTGAAGCTAGAATTTCAGTCCACTTTTATCTGCGGCCACAGCCTTTTCTGGCTCTTACATGGCCCTTCCAGGATGGGAGGGGGTAGACAAAGATGGAGATGGAAGAGGGACTCTTTTAGGACTTTTTCAAGGGGGCTGGAATTTTAATTTATGTTGCTTATTTTCTTTATGGCTGACCTCACTATGCCAAAACATTTTGTTCAGGACAGAGCTACTGAAAGGGCTTGATGTTGCTGTGAGATAAGAAAGCTCGGAGAGAAAAATGAAGTCCTTGAGGAAGAAGCTGTGTTGATTCAGCGACGTGGCTAGTGGGAGGAGAGGTCAGCTTTGGCTCCCGGAAGCTGTCATTAGTCCCTTGTCTTCGAAAATCTCAGAGGAATGCAGAGATCTGAGGATCTGAGCTGACTGACGAAACATGAATAACTCCCCCCAAAGCTCAGGTTTTCCTCTGGTTGGAATCCCGTTGTTCTGTAGGGAGTAGGTAGATTGAGGCATGCTGGATTAATAAAGTCATGCTGTGAACAAAATGATTGCTTCCGGGATCCTGGACCCCAGAACTGTGCAAGACACAGTTGCAGTTTGGTGGCAAGGAATCTTTCAAGGCCTGTACCTTGAAAGAATCTTTCTACAGCCTGAAATGCATTGAGCTGAAGGCTTCCTCCTCTTTGAAAAGCAAGTGCTGCATGTCGATAACCCACACCTTTCTGTGACTGACTTCCATTCATCCAGGCTTCACGTATTTGTCTGGCGCCTGCTATGCCTTGGAGTTGTGCCAAATGATGGAAAACATTTCTAATTCTTTCCTGGATCCTCACATTTATTTATTTATTTATTTATGTATTTATTTATTTATTTATGACAGACTCTCGCTCTGTCACCCAGGCTGGAGGGCAATGGTACGGTCTCAGCTCAATGCAACCTCTAACTCCTGGGTTCGAGCGATTCTCCTGCCTCAGCCTCCTGAATAGCTGAGACTACAGGCATGCGTCACCATGTCTGGCTAAGTTTTGTATTTTTAGTAGAGACAGGGTTTCACCATGTTGGCCAGGCTGGTCTCGAACTCCTGACCTCAAGTGATCCACCTGCCTTGGCCTCCCAAAGTGCTGAGATTACAGGTGTGAGCCACTGCGCCTGGCCCAGGATCCTCATTTTAACAGAAGCTTGGTAGAAAGGACTTGAAGACAAGGGGGGACATACTTACTAAGAGAAAGAGTAAGTCAGGAGGTGGTTAACACAGAGTTCTCTTCATTTAGAATTTCCAGGCCAGGCACGGTGGCTCACACCTGTAATCCCAGCACTCTGGGAGGCCAAAGCAGGAGGATCACTTAAGCCCAGGAGTTTGAGCACAGCCTGGGCAACATAGTGAGACCCTGTCTCTGGAAAAAAAAAAAAAAGAAAAAATTAGCCAGGCATGGTGACACACTCTTATGGTGTCAGCTACTCAAGAGGCTGAGGTGGGAGGATCCCTTGAGCCCAGGAGGCTTGAGGCTGCAGTAAGTCGTGATCATGCCACTGCACTCCAGTCTGGGCAACAGAGCAAGACCTTGTCTCAAAGAAAAAAAATTCCTTAGGGCTGATCCTACTAGGTCGTCCAAAGGAGTTTGAAAGGACTGGCTCCTTTGGTGTCTGAGAAAACCTTGTGTGCTGAGAAAGTGTCACGAGACCCTTAAGCTTTATCAATGACATAAAAAGTTCTGGGGCTCCACTTTAGTAGTCACAAATAAATGTTTTTAAAGACCACAAAGATGAACTGAGGTACTTGTCATTCCTTCCTCCCCAACACTGACGCTTCTCTCTGTTTAAGGCGGGCTTTCTGAGCCTGATCCCGGCCTGGGCCTTCTACAGTGGCGCCTTCCAAAGGCTGCTCCTGACACACTATGTCGCGTACCTGAAGCTCAACACCAAGGTCAGGTAGCCGGGCGGCGAGGAGTCCAGCACAGCCTTCTCCTCACCAGTCCCATGCTGGCTGAAGAGGACCAGAGGAGCAGACAGCACTTCAATCTAGTCTGCAGCACAGCCTTCTCCTCACCAGTCCCATGCTGGCTGAAGAGCACCAGAGGAGCAGACAGCACTTCAATCTAGTCCGCAGCACAGCCTTCTCCTCACCAGTCCCATGCTGGCTGAAGAGCACCAGAGGAGCAGACAGCACTTCAATCTAGTCCGCCGAAGATGGAGGGGCTGGGGTCACACAGGCTTAGAATACACATTTTTTGCCACTTTACTTGAGTCGGAAGATCTTTGGGAAAGTTGCGGTGCCCGTCCGTGCTGTCGTCCGGAAGTGCTCACCTGTTCTCAAACAGGGTTCCTGAAAGACCCAGGAAATTGGTGTGAACCAAAAAGTGTCTGAGACAGATCTCAATCATTTAGAAAGTTTACTTTGCCAAGGTTGAGGATGTGTACCTGGGAGGCAGGTTAGTGCCTTTCTCCAATGATGATTTTGAAGGCTTCAATATTTAAAGGGAGAATATTGGGGAAAGAAGAAGAACATTTGGAAAGGTGTGGGGAGATAAGAGATAAGCGGTTGCATTCTTTGGCGTCTTTGATCAGCCTTTCACCAAATACACAATTCACTTGTGGGAAGGGGTAGAGGATAAGTCACTTATGCTTTGTGTAGCTCAGCGACTACTTTCTTACATCAGAGGAAGCAATCAGATACGCACTTGTCTCAGGTGAGCAGAGGGATGACTTTGAGTTCTGTCCTTTGTCTCCATCCTGTGAAGATAAGTGATCAATTTACATTGTCAGGATAAAATTCAACAGATACATTTTAGGGTAAAGATCTTGGGACACACAAGGAAATTTCCTAGTGGGCAAATTGCGAGGGAGGTCTGTAGTTTTTTTCTTTGTAGTCATCTTATTTAGAACTTAAATGGGAGGCAGGTTTGCCTGACGCAGCTCCCAGCTTGACTTGTCCCATTGGCTTAAGGATTTTGGGGTCCCAAGATTTTTTACCTTTCACACTGAACAGAGGAAGACGTCAGGCAACAGTTACATCAGGCCAGTTTCTGGTCTCCTCCCAACCCATATCAATGAATGCAACACCAGCTTTATCTAATTATTTATGTTTGGGGTTCTATGTAAGACTGTTGGTAAAAACAAAACATAGGATAAGATACTCAAAATGTTTAAAAACCCTTGCTCTAAGGCAGGAGTTGGTAACTAGAAATGAGGTTTCTGAAGGTCTCCAACTCTTGGGGTGCTGGGGACACATGGAGTGATGTGTCCAGTCCTAGGTCTAGAATTATCTGAAGGATGGTACCCTTACATGTCCGGAGATTGAGGGAGTTGTTGGCGGGGACCCCAGCTGGGGCTGTCACACGAAGCCCCTATGCAGGGCCTCTCTGAGTGGCTGCTTGGTCTTCCTCACAGCTAGGTGGCTGCCTTCCAAGAATGAGCGTCCCAAAGAAGATTGGGAGGAAGCTGCACTGTCCTGTATGACCTAACCCCGGAAGTCATGTGACTGTCCTGTATGACTTAACCCCGGAAGTCATGTGGCATTGTGCCCAAGCCCTCCCAGATTCAATGGGAGAAGATGCAAAACCTGCCATGGGAAGAGTGTCAGATGGAATGGTGGATATTGTCATGCCCATCTTTAGAAAATATGTTCTCCATTCGTTAATCTTAGTATCTAAGTGTTTGTCCTAGCATCTACCTATTATGATGAATTACTTGGCCTTTCTACTGGCACCAGAGCAACTTATAAAAGTGTAGACATTGTGTTTCTAGAACCTTCCAATCAAACCCTGGTGAATTGGCCTTTCAGGAACAACTTCTACAACCAGCAACTTAGGTGAGAACAGAGACACACGTCAGCTTAAATGGCCTGGGGCAGATACTTAGAGATAAGTTTTAGCTGTGTGATACAGGGGTTTCTAGTGTATTAATTCTAGCTTGATTTGCACGGTTGTCCAACAAGCTTCTTGAGGGTCCTTAAAGTAAGAGAGAATTTCCTAACAGTAAAGGCCCCAAGACATTGAACTGATTTCTTATGAAACGAGGGCAGAAAAATTCCATATTTTAAGATCTTTATCCTTATCATCGTTAGTAGTAGATAATAGCTACCATTCGTTGAACACTAATTGTAGTCAGGGACTATGTAAAGCCTCGTAACAACTGAGGTAGGTACTATTAGTATTGCCTTCATTTTACAGATGAGGAAACTGAGGCACAGAAAACTTACCCGTGTGTGTGGGTTCACTTGACCAGTGAGTGGCAGAGCTGGAGTTTCTTGCACACCTGGGCTAAAGCAGAACAGTAGAGCCCTACGTCTGGGCTAAGTTTATTTAATCGAAATTAATGGCAAGGGGTGAACGCCCGTGCCCTCAACTTTGTATATTTCACTCTCACTTGTTGTGGAGGCAACAGGAGGGGAGCCGGGCTTCTGCAGCCAGGCCCATATGTCTGGATTTCAACACTGACCACTTTGCAAATTCACTGTCCTCTGGGAATCATTCAGGAACAGGGAGGCCGCCAAGTTTCACGGACCTTTCGTTTCTGCGGAAGAGTCCTGGGCTCTCGTTTCTCGCCTGATTCTCTTATCTTTGGAGGGCTCGGGACCCCAGGGGCCAGCCGCAGAAGCCGGCCGTTTGGATAGACGTGCTCCCCCCGCGTCCTTGCAGCCGTCCATCTGCGCTACCTCCCGGGAAGCCGAAGGCCGCAGCGTCCCTTGCGGGTGGCACCGGGAGCAGGAAAACCAGGTGCATTGGCAGCTGGTGCTCGGGCGGCTCCCTGGGGTGGCATCCCTGTCTTGCTCTTGTGGATGGGAACCGGAGCACCCCGCTTCAAAGACGCTGTAAGCCCGGGCTTACCAGAGAGACCCGAAGACTCCAGGGCCAATTTCAATCAGTTTCTTGTGCTTCTCCTGCCAAAAGGGATGATTGTCCCCGCTGTGGCTCATCCACTGTGCGGGGGCTCCGCGGGCCTGACTCGCTACCGCCCTCTGACGTCCTGGGAGAGAAGCTGTCGGGTCTCTCCTGCCTAATCTGGAAGAAATGTTAGAACAGAGGCTAATTCGGGCAAAGAAATCTCTCCATTTTTTGAGCTCTTTTGTGTGTGTGCGCAAAGGACAGGGTCGTTAAGAAAGAAGGAAAAGGAGGCGAGAGGAGGAAAGGACCAGTTTCAGTTTCACAGGCTCTGGCAAGGTGACTGAGAGAGTGCCAAGCCCCTTAGCCTCTTTGGGCTCTGGTTCCCTCATCAGGAAAATGAGAAGGTTTTATACCTGATTTCTCCTTTTTTATTTAGCTCTTGTAGTCTATAAATCTCCAGTAAGTTGTGGAAATAAACTGTCTTTTAAAAATCTTTAAAAAACAATTTTCCTAATTAGATATACAGGGTAGAAAATATAAAAACTACAGAGAAAAGATCAGAAAATAAAAATCCCAGCGTTATCCCACCATCCAGAATGAACTACTCTTCACTGATTGTGAATCTCCTTTTATAATTTTCACCTGTGTGTTTTGTGTGTGTTCTTGTGAGTCTAAGAGTAGATTTTACATTCTGCCTTTCCTCTTAAGATTAAAGCATATTTCCTTGTGATAGTAGCTATTCCAAAGATGATTTATAATGTTTGCTTAATATTTGTTTATAGTACTGAACATAATTTATCTTACCATCCCTTTTTTATGTACATTTAGGTGTTTTCTGATTTTAAAAATCTTATAGGCTAGGCACAGTGGCTCACACCTGTAATCTCATCACTTTAGGAGGCCAAGGCAGGATAATTGCTCGAGCCCAGGAATTTCAGACCAGCCTGAGACATAGTGAGACCCCTTCTCTACAAAAAATAAAACTATTAGCCAGGTGTAGTGGTGCACACCTGTGGTCCCAGCCATCTGGGAGGCTCAGGCAAGAGGATCTCTTGAGCCCAGGAGTTGGAGGCTGCATGAGCTGAGATCATGTCACTGCAGTCTGGGCAACAGAGTGAGACCCTGTCTCAAAAAACAAACAAACAGACAAACAAACACCCCCACAAAACCTTATAACAACATCTGTCCTTGTATGTGCATTTTCTTGTTGTGATGTTTCAACTTCTTTTTATACTTTAATTCACATACCATATGGGTTACCCATTTAAAGTATACAATTCAGTTGTTTTTAGTATAGTCACGGAGTTGTATAACCATAACCATCATCAACTCTAGAAGAAGTTTAGAATATTTTCATCACCCACATGGAAACCTAATACCCATTAGCGGTCACTCCCCATTCCATACCCGAACCCCCCAGCCTTAGGTAACCATTGACGTATTTTCTCTCTCCATTGACTTGCTTATTCTGGACTTTTTTATTGACTGATTGATTGATTGATTGATTGAGATGGAGTCTCACTCTGTCGCCCAGGCTGGAGGGCAATGGTGCAATCTCAGCTCACTGCAACCTCCACCTCCTGGGTTCGAGCGATTCTCCTGCCTCAGCCTCCCAAGTAGCTGGAATTACAGGAGTGTGTCACCACACCCGGCCAATCTTTTTGTATTTTTAGCAGGGACAGGGTTTCACCGTGTTGGCCAGGCTGTTCTTGAGCCCCTGACCTCAGGTGATCTGCATGGCTCAGCCTCCCCAAGTGCTGGGATTACAGGTGTGAGCTACCAGCCCTGGCTGTATTCTGGACTTTTAATGCAATGAATATAACATGTGGATTTCTGTTTTTGGGTTTTTCCACTTAACACCATGTTTTCAAGGTTCGTCTATGTCGTAGCATGTATTAGTACTTCAGTCCTTTTTTATTGCTGAATAATATTCTATTGTATGAAGAGACCACATTTTATTTGTTAGTTCATCGGTTGATGGACATTTAGATGGTTTCCACTTTTTGGTTATTGTAAAGAATGCTGCTGTGAACACTTGTGTACAAGTTTTTGTGCAGGTATATGTTTTCATTTCTCTTGCTTATTTACCTGGGAGTAGAATCGCTGGGTCATGTGGTCACTCTGTGTTTAACCT